CCTCCCTTCCCCGCCCCGCCCAGGCCACGCCCCCGCCGGAAGCTCTCTCGCGACCCGCGCCCGGCGCCCGGCGGTCCAGCACTCAGGTCTGCTCTCCATCTGCGTCCTCCTCATGGATTCTGTCGAGCGCGCGCAGGCGGCGCGGGCTCGCGTGCCCAGGTGGGTGCAGAAGCCGTGCCCGGAGCCCTCCCCGAGCCGGGTCCCAGCGCTGCAGCGCGCTTGTCCGGGTAGAGAGGGGAGGGGAGGGCACGGAGGAGGGGAGGTGATAGAGGAGGGGTGCAGGGAGCAAGGACCGAAGGGCGTCACAACTCCTGGGGTCGCGCTCTGGGGTCGGAAACTTGTTTGGGAAACAGGTTCTTTCTGTGTTGTAGGGTCGATCCATATGGGTTTGAAAGGCCAGAAGACTTTGATTATGCGGCTTATGAAGAATTCTTTTCCACATACCTGGTGATACTCACCAAGAGGGCGATAAAATGGTCCAAACTTTTAAAGAGAAGTGGCGGCGTCCGAAAAAGCGTGACAGGTGAGTCCCGCGCCTGGGACCCTGATGTTCGCAGCGCCCCCTGAAACCTAGAACGGGACTCCTCATCCAGCTGCTGGACCTCCTATAGAAGGACCCCTTAGCAGCAGGACCCGCTATAGCATGATCCCTCAGGTGCCGGATTCCCCCCAGCAGCACGACTTCAAGCAGCCAGACCTCCAAACGCCAGTCCCTCCTCACACGATCCCCTAGTTGTATAGCCAATCCCTTCCTCCCCATAGTCCACCCCCCGAGGTATCCTGGGAGTCTTGCCTCTTGAGGATGGGGTAGGGGGCGTGGCGCAGCAGAGCAAGGCCACGGGAGCACTATATCTGTATACGTCGTTGCCCACACCGTGGCCACCTCACCCTCTTACTGAGGATGGGCAAAGTCCATGCTTCCGGGGGAGGAAGCCGAGTGTCCTGAGAGAGCTTTAGAGCTGAGCTTAGAATCCCCAGTTAGCTAAGGGTGGGACCCTCTGGGTGAGGCCCTGGGAATGTCCTTTCCAAACAGGCTACATTTGGGTGATCAAACAGCCCTCAAGCTTCAAAATCAGACAGATTGGGCTCCTAGTTGGTTCAGTTCTGGGACAAACTCTCCTCTATCACTTTGAAAGTATGCCCCAGGGTCCACCATGCCTGACTTCCCCTCCTTTTGCCAAACATTTTTCTCTTATCTGGATCTTATTTGATAGCCATTTGTTTCCTTACTAGAATCAAAGGTCCCTCCCTGTCTGCAAATTTTGTTTTCTTCACTGTGGAATCCTGGGTACAGTGAACACTGCTTTGTTTCAGTATGAAACATACTTATTAAAGGAATGAAGGTGTTTGCCAGGTGGCCAGGTAGACAGACCAGCACTGTAATCACAAGGGCTTGTATGAAGTGTGTTTGGGCAGTTGCCTGCTGAACATTAGTGATAGTTGGATGACCCATGGTAGAGGGAAGAGGACCTATTCTGTCCCATCCTCATGGTCTCTGTACTTACATGTTTCCCATAAAGAGCTACTTTTATTCTTTGTTTTACATTGATTCTTCAAAGTTAACTGGTCTTTTAACTTTGGAAAGTTTTATAAACACTCAAAACATACTTTATGCAAATGGTAAACATTTTAATCATACTGAAGGGTACAAAATGAAGTTACTTCTCTCTCACCCCAGGCTCTAGCTTACTAAAGAGGTAACCACTGGGGACTGTCTTAATGTGTCCCCTAGACCAGATGTGTACAAACACATAAATGCCCAGGTGCTCTGTGAGCTACCTTCAGTGTAGGCATTGTCCTTCTGTGGCTATGAAGATACTTAATGCCTTGGAAGATACAGGGCTGTGTAAACCTACTGCTCTTACACACACCAGCCATGTGCTCATCCTCCTGTGCCCCAGACAGACCTTGAACTTGTGATCTTCTACCTCAGCCCACTGAGCAGCTGAGGTTACAAGGCTTTAGCCATCAGGCCTGATTTGAAGTTATCATCCTCCTAGTTCAGCAAGTTTTTGTTTTGTTTTGCTTTGCTTTGCTTTTGAGTACTTGTCACAATCCTGTGAAAGTTTAACTTGAGGAGAGATGGCTCAGTGATTAAGAGCGTTTCTTGCTCTTCAGAGGACCTGAGTTCCCTTCCTAGCACCTACATTGGGTTGCTCACAATCACCTGTAACTCCAGGTCTGGATGGGTCTGACATGTTTGGCCTTTGAGGACATCTGCATTCACATGTACATACCCACACAGACACACACACACAGACACACACACACACACACACATACATATACACACAGATACAACTGCCTTTTTGCTTTAATATTATTTCAATTACATAATGTTCATTAGGTTGTAATTATGGTAACAAGTTAATTGGTGTAAGCAGGAGCAAACGCATGTTTCCAGGTGTGCCCTCAGTCCGAAGGATGGGAGCCTCCAAGGCAGGATGAAAGTCATCAAACAACCCTAGTCAGTCTGGTGGGGTGCCAGGGAGTCTGCCTGTGTGTCCCTGCTGGCACTGATGTGGTTTCTAGATGCTACAGTCAGGGAGCCCTTAGTGCTGGCAAAGTTTGAGTTTGCCATCAAGCATTAAACAGGAGGAGACAAGTTATTCCGGAAATGGGAATCAGGTTTTTCCTGCCAGATATTCTATACTGATTGTAGTGTACTCAGCAGGGCAACATCCCCAGGAGAGAGATCATGACCCAGGAAGATGAACCCATGTGGGAACAGGAGCCAGCAGTCAGGGAGCCCTTAGTGCTGGCAAAGTTTGAGTTTGCCATCAAGCATTAAACAGGAGGAGACAAGTTATTCCGGAAATGGGAATCAGGTTTTTCCTGCCAGATATTCTATACTGATTGTAGTGTACTCAGCAGGGCAACATCCCCAGGAGAGAGATCATGACCCAGGAAGATGAACCCATGTGGGAACAGGAGCCAGGGACTTAGTCTCAAACCCACTCTTTTTTTTTTTTTTTTTTCCTTTTTGAGACAGTTTCCCTGTAGCCCTAATTGGCTAATTAGCACCCCCTGACATTTCTCTTGCTGTGTTCCATACCCCAACCCCCAATGTGCAGTATGTGTGTGTCTGTATGTGTGTGAATATATGCACACGTGTGCCTGCCTGCCCGTCTCTCATTTCTGTTTTCTGGCAGTGTCTTGCAATGTAGCACAGGCTGGTCTAGAACTTGAGATCCTTCAGTCTTGGCCTCCTGATTGCTAGAATTCTTAGTATTCTTACTACCACACAGAGCTTCTTTTTTGCGGAGGCTGGGGGTGGGGGTGTCCAACTATCTGAGTTCCTTTGGAGGTTCTTGGTTTCACTGACAGAATTTAAACATAGGCTCAGAAGGAAACTTGAGGACAGTCTTATTGGCATTTGAGAGAGGAAACAGCAAGGTGGACAAGTTGTAGATCTTTGGCAGCTGCCAGGAGATGGAAAAGGGAGAAAAAATTACTCTTTCTGAGTTAGAAAAGGTTAGGCATTTTGAACTAGTCATAGGGGTCTGCAAGCAGCTGGGTCCAAGGAGAGGCTTTGGGGATCTGTATGCACACATCTCATTAGGGGAAGTTCCTTCTGTTCTCTTAAGTCCTCAGGTGTACTGGGCTGCTTCTCACCTGGTTTTAGGCTAATTCTAGTTTTTCTTCATTGCTGCAACAAAAATACTCTGACCAATACCAACTTGGGGAGGAAAGGGTTTATTTATCTTATATCTCCCATATCACAGTTCATCAGGGAGCCCAAGGTAGGAACTCAGGGCAGGAACCTGGAGGCAGGAGCTGGAGCACAGGCCATGGAGGAATGCTGCTTACTGGCTTGCTCTCCTGGCCCCTGGTCAGCCTCCTTTCTTATACAATACAGGCCCACCTTCCCAGGGGTGGCATCACTCACAGTGGGCTGGGCCCTCCCACATCACTCAACAATCAAAAAGATGCCCCTCAGACATGGCCGCAGGTCAGTCCTATGGAGGCAGTTCCCCAATTGAGGCTCCCTCAACCCAGGTATGTCATGTTGACACTAAACCTATCCAGCACACTAGTCTTCTTGGCCTTGTCTGGATAAGGAAAGTACCCATTGTATCAAAAGGTGCTACCAGCCACCATGGACCATTAGTTGTGTATTTGCATCACCACATTGGCATTGATGTGTCCCAAAGGAGATTCCTGGCTCAGGAGGCCCCTTCTGTCTACATCTGAGGGGATGTTTTAGGTCTTGGATCATGCCATTTGTACCAGAGGAGGCTGACATAGGTCTGTACGTATGTGTCTAAGATGGTCAGCCTGGGAGGCAACTGACTATCCAGGGCCCTTTTCATTTGTGTTCTGCCCAGCATCCCCTATCATCTGAGTGTCTCCAGTTACCTGAAAATCTTGTTATCTGAGATGTCACAGATGACAGCTATAACTTACTCTGCTGAGCAAGAGTGGATACTCATCCTGTGTTTCCCTGTTTAGTTTCTCTTCTTGGTACAGGGACTCCAGCAGGAGAAGCAGTGCAGCCATTTGCTTCTTAGCCCTCCTTAGTAGCTTGGTGAGTCACACACCTGAACTCAAAGTGAATTGCAGGAGCATATTTAAAGCCAAATGCCAAAAACCTAGGTTTGTTTGATGTGGTTAGAGCAGACAGGTGGAGGCTAATCCTCTGAGGGTTCTCTGCAAGGGTTAGTGGCCATCAGTGGGTGAGCCCTGCCCTTGGAAAGAGGTCAGTCTGTCATTTCCTTTGCAGAAACAAGGTTCCGTGATACTTCGGAGACTGGCTTCTGCTACAGCAGCTGGGAGTCCCCAGCTCTAGAACTGCAGGGACTAGGCCAAGTGCTGTTTCTGATTCACAAATGAGGAAACCGAGGCACGCTTGGGTATGGAGCTAGGAAGTCCTAGCAGAGCAGGTGTCTGATGCCAGAGTTGGTGTGTATAATCATCTTGTCCTTTGCTTTAAAAAAAAAGAAGAAAGAAAGAAAGAAAGAAAGAGAGAAAGAAAAACCGAGTTCAAAGCCAGCCTGGTCTACATAGTGAGTTCCAGGTCAGCTGGGCTACAGGGAGACCCAAAAAAAAAAAAAAAAAAAAAAAAAAAAAAAAAAAAAAAAACCCTCAACCTTAAATTACTAAATTACTTTTTAAAATCTACAGTGAAACTCAAGTTATCAGTGTATAGTTTTTAGGATTTTGGACAAACACACAGCAAATCACAGTTAAAATTCAAACCAGAACCAGGCACTGTAATCCCAGTAATCAGGAGGCAGAGGCAGGAGGATTGCTATTAAGTTTGAAGCCATAGTGTGCTACATAGTGCTAAACAAAAAGAATGAGAAGAATTCTATCACTTTCAGAATTCTGTGGCCACTCCTAGTCAGCCTGTCTAATCCTGTAGTCGGCCTTCACAGGATGCTCAGCCAGGTTGCAGCCCTGAAGTTTGGTTTCCATAGGGCATGTGAGGCTCATCTAGAGTGTTGTGTGCCCCAGTGGCTTTTTTGTGTTGCTAAGGAGTTTGTCAACTTATCTGCCTATCAGTCAACACATGGCAAGTAC